ACCGATAGTCTGAGTGGGTAACATACTTGGGAAAGGCTGCCACAGCAGGGTAAGATGATTCTCATATTCGGGCCATATACCAAGTAGGTGCTGGGCCGACGGGTGCAAGCGGATGCATCAAAAGGAAAGGAACAGCCGATGGGATAGGAAATGGAATCTTTTTTCTCCCATAGCTGTCCTCTGCTTTAGACCATTCGCATTCCACCCGTGTACATGTAATATTCCTAGATGACGATGCGATAGGTCTATACCAACCTGATAATAGACTCACCAAATACTTGCCCATCCGCGTTGCTTGCGTTAGCAACCCATCAGCCATGGCTCATCACCAACGAAACTCATCGATAGCATCCTCCACCAAGCCAGCCACACCAACGGACAGCTGGGAGTCGTACTTTGACTCTTGGAGGGTGGAAGATGACGACGTGCCCGACATGGCACCACCTCCAGCACCCACCATCCTCGAGCCAGTGATATTGGATGACGAACTATACCACCCGGACAGCCTCCTGAATGCCCAGTTCAACCTGGATCGGGCCTTGGATTTGGAGCTGGACTGGGATTTCCAGGAGTATCACCACGACTATCAGGACAGGTGCTCCCCCAAAGTGTTTGGGAGATTGAACGACGATAATCCGGCCAACAAACGGCATGCGATTTGTGTCTCGAACCGGCGGGCTGCGGCAGCGGCATATTGTCAAGGACAAAGTCGAAGAGATCGTCGCCCTGTGCCAGTGATACCAATGGCCAACCGGCCTGATGACGTTGATCGGATAGCAAATATGGGGATGACTGGGATGACCCAGATTCGTCAGCCATTCGCGCAACTGCAGGAGGATTCGAGCAGATCTGGCCATGGCCATGGCGCATCTGTGAGGAGGAGCCTGCAGGGGCACCAGCGCCGGTCGGATTGCTGTTTGGCAGAGAGCTTGAGCATGGGGAGCCCAAGCAGCAAAAGGCCACACCGGGCAATGCAGCGCAAGGAGCATTTCAGAGGGGCAGGAGGCGTGGGGAACCCGCAACAGGCGGAGCCACTGGTGAGTTTTTACCCCCCCGCGGTGCTTAGGGTGGCTGTGGACAGCCCTCAGACAGTCCCCTATGATCTCATCGCCCAGCACCTCTATACCCACACTCCCTAGCAAGCTCGCGACTTATGGTGCCCAAGGGTGCCTATGGTGCCTATTGCCGATGCTTGGTGACGCCCACGTTACGTGTTCCGCAGCAGTCCGCACCCTACAGCTTCTCTCATTCCTTTACCTAGGTCTCCTTGACACTAGCCCCTCCAACCTCGCATCTTCGTCACCCATTGTCACTCTCTTTTCTCATCTTCATTCCATCTCTTCCCATTTTCCATCTTCATCTTGACCAACATCCCCTCTGCCCATCCGACGACCATCTCGTTTCCGCTTCTTCGTTTATGCCCAGGACATCCTCCTCCTCCTTCCCCCCCGGCCGCTTCCACCTTGCAGCGCCATCTCGAAACCAAGACTGGTAATTGGCACTTCGCCTTTTTCCGTCAAAGCTGCGCTCCGCTTATCCTGCTGCTGAATCATCCGCCTCGCCATTTTCTGCAACCACCGAAATCTGGACCCCAGGACCCTGCCTGCTCCTGGCCTCCTACCTACTGCCGTGAACTTTTTCTTCCATTCCGCACCTCGTCCTCTGTCAACTGCTGGCAGCGATCGAAATCTCTCGACCTCTCTTCCTCAATCCACCGCTCCTATTCCATCTTCACATCGCCGCCCCGTTTGTTTACCTGCTCAGGACCATTGGCTAAAATGAGCACCATTCAGAACCTCAAAAACTTTATACGTCATGGGAAGCAGGCCCGGGTTGCCGAACCTCCCCGCGATCATCCCACTACCAACATCTCTCCAGTTCATGCCCAGCAGCAGAAGTACCACCACGGGGTCTCCGATCCTGTAGGCAACCACCATAGACAACCACAGCAACACATTCAACCTCAACCTGGTGACTATTCCGTGGCGGCTGGTGACAATCGAAATGTGGCCGCTCAAGCCGGAGCTGCCGCAGCCCATGCTGCGGGCAAGAACCAGAAGATCCAAGCAGACATCGAAGCCATCGTCGCTGAAGAGAGGGAAAAGGCCAATAAAATGCCCCGGTACCCTGGCCTTGAACGCTTCATCCTGGTAGAAAAGATGGGAGACGGCGCTTTCAGCAATGTCTACAAGGCCAGAGATACCCAGACAGGAGACGAGGTCGCCATCAAGGTGGTCCGCAAGTTCGAAATGAACTCGAATCAGGTATGTCGGGAGTCATGGGACACTGCCATGCTTTGGGATTTTCCTTCTGCCCCTTCACTTCACTCCCCCTCCCCTTCCCCGGCCCTGGCATTGCCGTTCCCAGCATTGCACGATCCCCCTCTCGCTCTCTTTCCACCGCCCCTTCTTCAAGACAGCTTCAAAACCAACCTCTTCTAACCTAGGGCGATGCTCACCTTCATCCGAACTTCAAAAAACAACCAAAGGGCGTGGAGGTGCGCACTTCCATCCTATCCGAAACCTTTACTTACCACATCCTCTTTGACCCAATTGACGCACTGATCCACTCCTTACCTCCATCGGAACGAAGACTAACCTCTTCTCATAGCGAGCCAATATTCTCAAAGAAGTGCAGATTATGCGCCAATTGGACCATCCCAATATCGTGAAGCTCATTGACTTTTCCGAGTCCCGACAGTATTACTATATTGTTCTCGAGCTGTGTCCGGGTGGTGAATTGTTCCACCAAATTGTCCGCTTGACGTACTTCAGTGAAGATCTGAGCCGTCACGTCATTACTCAAGTCGCCGAGGCCTTACTTTATCTGCATGAAGAGACAGGTGTGGTCCATCGGTATGTATTGGGGATGGGAAATGATATATCTCGCGTGAGGCTAACCTCGCTCCAGTGACATCAAGCCTGAAAATCTTCTGTTCTATCCTATACCGTTTGTCCCAACTCGTAACCCAAAACCAAGAAGTCCCGACGACGAAGACAAGGCCGACGAGGGAGAATTCATTCCAGGTGTCGGAGCTGGTGGCATCGGTCAAATCAAGATCGCCGATTTCGGCCTCTCAAAAGTTATTTGGGATTCTCAAACCATGACGCCCTGCGGTACAGTTGGCTACACGGCTCCCGAAATTGTGAAGGATGAACGATACAGCAAATCAGTCGACATGTGGGCTCTCGGTTGTGTGCTGTACACCCTTCTTTGTGGTTTTCCTCCTTTCTACGACGAGTCGATCCAAGTCCTAACGGAAAAGGTTGCTCGCGGTCAATATACTTTCCTGTCGCCGTGGTGGGATGACATTTCGAAATCAGCACAAGATCTGGTCTCTCATCTTCTGACTGTCAATCCAGACCGGCGATATTCGATTCAAGAATTTCTGAACCATCCATGGATTCGGAATGTCAATGAACCTACCTATGCTGCTGCAGATGCTCCTCCCCTTGCCACCCCTCTTCATGTCCGGCAAAAGGAAATCGCCCAAGCAGGCAATATACCTGCAGAGTTCCTCACCACTCCCAACACGCCAGGGGCCAAGCGAGCGGATTTTAGATCGCCTGGTGCTGTCAACCTACGCGAAGTGTTTGATGTGGGTTACGCCGTACACCGGCAAGAAGAGGAAGCCAAGAGGAGAAAGAACTTTAAGCAAGGTTACCGAGGAGCGGGTATGCCGGGTGGATTAAATCCTCTGAATGAAGATGACGACGACGAGGATGAAGATTACGAGGAGGAAGTGTCTAGCAAGGTGCCGAAGAATCAGCAACCCGCCGACGTGTCCAGCATGGAAGCGAAGATGCGTCAAACCAACCTTGGAACGCAGCCGTCTGCAGCGGCCCAAGCGCGAGCTGCAGCAGCGCCGGCTAGAAGCCAGCATCACAACAATCAACAGGAACAGAGAGGTTATGGCCAGCATAGTGCGGCGGTGGCGGCGGCGGCCAAGCAGAGTGTTGGGCGGCGGAACAAGCAGCCGTTCGAGCTGAGCCTGGACAATTCGACGTTGTTGGGCAGGAGGAATAAGATGGTAGCGGCGGCCAATCCGAACCCGCCTTCGAAATTGAGAGAGGAGCTGAGCGTGAGATGAGGCAGACGAAGTGGGAGAGAAGCGATTGGAAGGCAGCCTACGAAGGATAATCGTGCAACAGCCTCTTTTTGCAAGAACCCACGGGCGACGAACCCAAGAAACGGGATGTGAGCGAGCGTTTAGTTGATACTATGCTTTGTCGAAATTGCGCATAGGAAGGTCGGCTGGAAGCGGCACGCTTGCAGGAGAAGGATCAGCAGCAACCTAATGAACGTCAACGGGTCTAGAAATGAATGTGATATCACGATGCAAGAATCCATTTGAGATTTTTCCTTCTCATTTTTTCCGTTTGCTTCTGGCCTCAGGGTGCATATGCCAAGGCTATGACATATATGCTCGGTACAGAGCACCTTGTGTAGAGTCACAAGGAATATAGGCACGTGGCCGATGTACGACAGAGGATGTACGAGCCACAGCAGGCTCTTGCTCTCCACACCAGCATCCTTCCTTGCTTCCCCTCATTCTTCCTGCATTTGTTGTCGCTTCTGTATCCAGTACCAAGTACGGAGTCCCTACTCCGTACCTCGTAGTAAGCTTCATTCGCATCTCTCGTTTAGAGCCATCTCCACACGAACGGCCACGGATATGACCGATCTGCATGCTCAACTTTTTCCTCGCTATAATGGCTTTTGCAGGGTTTGGTACAGCGGCCGCCCTGCGTTCCTTTTTTCTTCTCTTTTGCTCGTCATCTGCCGTGTCTTGCTGCAAAAACTGTGGCAAATGCCCTCTCACATATACGAATACATATACCGAACTAGACAGATACATCCTGGCCTCTTTGTTTGCTGAATTTCCATCTTCCTCCTTCACCAGTTTACGCGAAAAGCCAGGATCACCTCAACAGCTGATCTCCGCCTCTAATCATTGAACCATAGAGTTTCCCTTTTCTCCTAGAGGAATATTAGAGTCCATGACCTTCCAGCACCCCCAAGAACAGCAACAATACCACGGAACTCCCCTGGGCCAATTGAGATTGGCTCCGGACGCAAGCCCTCTTAATCCAGATCTGAATCAGCTCCCACAACAATCACACTCACAAACTCCATCTCACCGAGAACCAAGCCGTTCGCCATGCTCAACCCCTGAAAGAAGCAGATCTTGTTCACTGTCCGCTGGTCAGGAACCGGAGAAAAAGTCATGGAAGGACAGTGACCAAACGCTTGGTGCCTTCACCCTTGTCACCGAAGAAGCCGCAGAGAAAGCCGAGAAGAAACTGAGTCGTATGGCTGTCAGCGATATGAAGGAGATTCACGAAATCTCTGGACTCGAACGCCCCGGTGTCGGGTCACGGCAGGCGACATCGGCGGCACCATCAATCGCTGCAGCACCATTCACCACTTCGTATTGTTGCGATCTCGAACAGTCGCATAGTCACGACGCCTCGGGCAAACCACGGCCCAGATCCTCCTCTTCACTATCATCCAGCTCTAGGACCCCGACATTGCACCAGGTGCCCAGTAGTTTAATCACGGCCAGTCGGGTATCCACTGATGCATACGGGAATACCTATCCAGAGGGCGGCAGGGAGGCGTGGTTGTGCGTGTTTGGCTCTTTTTGCGGGTTGATGAGCGCTCTTGGGATGATGAATACGCTGGGAACATACCAGGCATACCTTTCCACACATCAACTTCGAAGCAAAAGTGAGAGCACCATTGGCTGGATCTTCGGCATCTACGCCTTTCTGTCCTTCGTCCTGGGCGTACAGATCGGGCCGGTGTTTGACGCCAAAGGTCCCCGTTGGTTGGTGCTTGCTGGGTCTGTTTTTATGCTCGCTTCGCACCTCCTCATGGGGGTCTGCATTGAGTACTGGCACTTCCTCATCGTAATCGGTATCGTAGGTGGGCTCGGGACCTCTTTGGTTTTCACGCCTGCCATTGCCGCGATTGGCCACTTCTTTCTGAGCAAAAGAGGCCAGACCACGGGCCTTGCGGCAGCTGGAGGTTCGATGGGCGGGATCCTGTTTCCACTGACTCTCCAGGCACTGTTCCCCAAGATCGGCTGGGCGTGGTCGACTCGAGTCTGCGCACTGATCAATCTGGTTCTGTTGATCTTTGCGAACCTCTTCATTAGATCACGCCTCCCGCCACGGAAGGCCACTAAGGAGAACATTCTCCCGGACTTCCGGATTTTCCGAGATCCGGTCTTCGCGCTGACCACAGCGGGCGTCTTCTTCGTGGAATGGGGCCTTTTCGTCCCGTTGACCTACCTTAGCAGCTATGCCTTGAGTCACGGCGTCTCGTCCTCATTCTCGTACCAGATCATTGCAATATTGAATGTCGGCTCATGCTTTGGTCGATATTTTCCAGGATTTGTCGCCGATAAGGTTGGCCGATTCAATGCCATGGTTGTGACCATCTCTTTGTGCCTGGTCTCTACGTTGGCGTTCTGGCTCCCATCCAACGGATCCATTGCGTTGATCGTCGTCTACGCGTTGACCTTTGGATTCGCCTCCGGTTCAGGCATCTCGCTGACTCCCGTATGCGTGGGACAGTTGTGCAGAGTCGAGAATTATGGACGCTACTATGCCACTTGCTATACTCTTGTGTCGTTTGGATCCTTGACGGGCATTCCGATCGCGGGACAGTTGGTGACTGCGTGCCAGGGCGAATACTGGGGACTGATTGCGTTTACTAGTTGTAGTTATGCGGCGTCGTTGACCATGTTAACGGCGGCAAGGGTGGTTGGTGCGGGATGGAGTTTGAAGGTTGTATATTGAGTGACCAGGGCGGGGAAAACGTCGAAGTCAAACACCAGTACATAGGGATATTGCCACGAGAGATGAACCACTGAGACACACAACCCACTCTCTCTTTCCTGGCTTCGCAACGCTCTTATCAGTTGTCTTGCCTCGTATTCCTCTAGATGTTTCAAATGCCAGAACTGTAACGACTCGAGCAACAGACAGACACCCTGCTGACTTGGCGGCGCGTGCTAAGGAAGTGGAAGAGAGGCAGCAATGCTCGGTGCCACATCGAATCAAAATATCCGGGATTCGCAACCCCGCGGAATTTAACTTGCTAAACCGTCAGTCTTACAGCAAATGGGGGCGAGAAAACTCATCCCTCCTCGGTAAGCAGCTCGTCCTCTTTTTCTTCTGAATGTAAGCCAACAGTCTTCCACCAGCTTCTCCCCCGTACCCTACTCTGCCAGAGCTTGCGGGCCTCTTTAAAGACCCGGACGAGGCAAGTGAACTCAAGACAACTGTCGGGACCGATCCTGGCCAAAGATTTCACGCTTGGTGGTGCCAACTCGATCGCACTTGCGAGCTTGGACGATGAACAAGTACTGGGCAGTCTGCAGCTGGTGCCGCCTGCATTAACTACGAATCCGATGATGGACGACCGGGGTTTTATCCTCGACGGGGATGCCACTGCTCAAGATGTTTACAGCACGCTCCATGCTGAGGAGATCCGTACCTTGTTGCTGGCTCCAGGCAATAAAGGCACCCCTATCATCTGTGAGATGCAAGTGGTGTCCTCTCCCAAGAGTACTCAGTTCGAGGCGCTGTCCTACGTCTGGGGTGAAACTATCCCATCCAAAGTCATCTCTTGCAATGGCTTTAACTTTCCTGTTACGGAGTCTCTGTACACTGCCCTTCTACATCTGCGCTATCCAGACGCTTGGAGACGGCTGTGGGTGGACCAACTCTGCATCAATCAAGTCCAGGGTCAGGAGTTGATGAAACAAGTCGGGTTGATGGGTATGCCCAGCCAAGTTATGCTTTAGATGACATTCCTGCGTGCTCATGCCAGTCCAGGACGCCTTTATTCTTCTGCGTGCCGTGTGATTGTCTGGCTCGGCAAGTATGACCAGAAGATGTCCCTGGCATTCGAACTGCTGCAGGAGACCTCTCTGAGTTCGAGCCTTGTTCGGTCGGATTTTCTGGACTCGTCGAGTGGGCTTTCCACACCTCGAACAAGATCACTCGCAGCACGAGGGACCTCCAGGTCTCCACGCTTGTCGCGATATTCTAGCCGTGCATCGAGCTCGCGTGAAAGCCTAACCAGCCTCTCCTCCTCAACTTCTAGCCTCAGTTGTTTGTCGGCCCATCGGCCCAAGAACAGACGGCACGACACTCCTCCCGCTTTGAAATACGCGTTGTCGATTTTTCAGCACGTGTACTTTACGAGGAAGTGGACCTTCCAAGAGATCATCCTCGCGAAGGCCGCAATTATCTGCTGCGGCGATCTCGAAATGGCATGGAGCGACTTGTCTCTGTGGTACTTCCACTACGCTTCAAAGTTACGCAGCTCGAGTCTCTTGTACGACTCTAACGGCTCCTTTGAGAGTATCCTGACAGTGAGAAACGAACTGGAGAAGGGTACACTAAAGCTCAGTAAGTTGCTCATGCTGACCAGGCCAAGAACCAGCACGAAACCCGAAGACGCAATTTATGCCTTGCTGGGCTTGATGCCTGACTTGCTCCGCGCTATAAAGTCGAAGTCAAACATCCAACATCCTCCAGGGATAGTGCCTTCTCAAGAAGAAAACTTGTTCTACCTTTATCTGAAGGTCTTTCTGTATTGCATCGAGAAAGAGCACGACTTAGCCATCATCAGTGCCGCTGGCAGGTACAGGGCTAATGACCAAGCAACAGACTGGCCAGGCTGGCTGCCGGATTGGAGGCAATCACTCCCGCTTCGGCCGTTGGTCATCATGAGTCCTATGGATCTTGGCCCGGAGTCCGCCTTTGACGAAGACTCTCCTAAAGATGTGCCGCCTTTACCACAAGCCGAGACTTCGCCCATTTACAAGTTGAGTTTCCAACCCGGGCCGACGGCCTCACTGATGTCATCGTGGCCCTCCCTGACAGTATTTGGTGTCCGTCTTGGTTGTATAGTCACGCGTCCACTGTCCTGGCCTAGCGTTTTCCTCGTCGCCGACTCACCAGCCCAGTCTATACTGAGCGGCTGCCCTGATGAAAGCCAATTTACTCAATCGCTTGCATCCCTAGCACCGGAGCTCTCTGACGAACCGTTGAAATCACACAAGGCTGCATATCAGGAGCTAAACCAAGATTATGCGCCATCTTTGTTGCAGAGATCACTCCAAGCTGGCGCCCAATGTCGCTCCGTGAGGACTTCAGCCATGGTGCAGTCTAGAGATTGGCTCTGCGCTTTCAGAGGCGGGAGTGTATTATACACGATTCGTCCGCTCGACGAGTTTCCTGCTGCTCTCCAAGCAAACTCCACGTCACCGAGAAGAGGAAGATTGTTACGCGAATCGAAACGGTCAACGTCATCGATTGGCGGTCCGCCTCGCCATCCTGCTAAATATCTGTTCCTCGGTGAATGCGTGGTGCATGGCCTCAATCCAAGCGAGGTTCTGGCTCATCCAAATGAAATGATGGAGTTTGAACTAGTATAAGTCGGAATCACTCAAATACACCCCTTGACGGCCTCGACAATGGGTGGAGGTTGTTGTTACCAACTGCCAAGAGAGAGCCGCTTGGCTCAGGCTGGTCACAAAGAGCGCATGTCGATTTGCAAGTCCCTGGACCAGGACCAGCAGAGATGGCTGTTCATGAGACCATGACTGACTTCCCTGTGTTGTCACGAGGACTGAATTGACAGACTTTGACTGACCTCAGTTCAGCCCCGTCACTCAGTTTGTTTGTCCAACGCAAGGCCACAATTCCGGCCAATGGACCAATCAACGCCCGGTCTCCCCATGCAGCGTCCAACTTTCCGGCCAGGCGAATCATCTCGTTCCATCTTTCAGCTCCAGAGCGTATCGAATTCCGGCCTCCAGCAATTTCTTACTTAAGAGCAATGGATTCGAAGAGGGGTCAACGGTGGGCTTCTCCTTCTCAAATGTCATTTTTGGGCTCGTGGGCACCTCACCACCGACCGTCCGCCTGAGTCCGGCAGACCTTCGTCCCCCTGCAACTTCATCATCGAAGAGTCATGCTTGGCCTGGGTATGCCCTGAACGACGCAGCAAGGGAGAATATATCGTGCCAATGCATCTCTCCTTGGTGTCACAGAATGCTGGTATGAAATGCAGAGCAATTAGCAACCTTGCAATATCCCGTTACTGAGACTTATATGGATGCAGTCAATGCCAAGACGAGGCTGGTAGCCCCTATCACGACATCCACGACCTGGACAAGCGTCCAAGGTGACGAACGGGCTCGGATTCTCCTGCGCGTACATGTTATTCCTCTGTCATGATGGAATCCGCGTGGACTTTGCTCACCGCAACAGTCGCTCTTCTCCTATCCATTGGCCGGAATAACTTCCGGCCAAAGGGGCATATAAGCAACTGATCCTGCTTCGAGAAACGAGGAGACTCCTCGTGCGCGCATCTGGACTAAACGCTCTCCTGTCTCGTTTTCGCTGCATGCGGAGGGCTTTCCACCGTCCAGTTGCTATACTCGGGCAAGGCTACACCACCTGTTTGATCGCTTTAGATCCAACTACTACGCCTGTCAAGATGACATACCTTGTCGACTCACCACCGCTTCCCCCTCTCTCGACTCTCTTTCCTCACATCCATTCCGATGCTGCAAGTCTCCCACACTCTGCAGACCCTTTCACGGTTACCACCAGTACCGGCTTTCTTCCTTGCCGTTCGCCCCTGCTGCATCTGCCAGCACAATTCAATGCGTTATCAGCGATTCTCGACGACATGCCAATAGTCAAAGCAGATGGCTCGCCTGGTTTGCTCGCCACATTCAAGCTCGGCCCTCTTATCGACTCGGGTGCTTTACCAGATTTGACCTCTTACGTTGATGACTTGAGGGCCGATACTGGCGATCTCGACCTCGAGGCCATTACCGCCGTCTTCCGAGACTACAGCTTTTTGGCTAGCGCGTATCTGTTGGAGCCTTGTTGGGAGACGTGGTCGAAAGACCATGAAGCCGGCTATGGTTTAGGGAGAGCGGTCCTGCCGAAGTGCATTGCCTCGCCACTGGTGAAAGCCGCAGACATGTAAGTATTCTTGAGCAATAGCTTAGTACTTTCCCGTGTGCTCGCTAATCCTTCCGATTTAGTCTCGACATTCCGCCATTCATGTCCTACGCTGCATCATATGCACTATATAACTACTCCCTCGTCAATCCTAGTATCGGTGCAAGCTTATACGACAATCTCCGTCTCGTTCGTGCGTTTGAACGTGGTCTTGACCCCTCAAGCTCAGAAGCTGGCTTCATCTTGACCCACGTCCATATGGTCCAGGAAACAGGTCCCTTGATTTCAGGCGCCGTCAACCTCCTGTCAATCATCGAACACTCTCCCAATGACGTATCTTCCGCAGTCTCAGCATTCCAAACTATGCTCTCTGCCATGACCCGCATCGAATCCCACATGGAACAAATGTGGAACCATTCCCTACCAAAAGACTATCTCTCGTACCGCACATTCATCTTCGGAATCACCTCACAATCCATGTTTCCAAATGGGGTGATCTATCAGGGCACCCGCTATGGAGACTCCAAACCCTTATATTTCCGCGGCGAATCTGGCGCAAATGACAGTATCATTCCCCTATTAGATCATCTGATGGAGATACCCATGCCGAGCAACCCGCTCACAGAGATTCTTAGGGATTTCAGGAGTTACCGACCAAAGACACATCGGGAGTTTCTGGCGTGGGTCATGAGTAAAAGCGCGGAGGTGGGTGTGAGACAGTACTGTACTCATCATGCCTTGTCGCGGAATATGAAAGGCAACAATGTGACTGACCAGGACGAGACCACTGCCTTGCTGTTGCCAACACTCTACCTCAAATTACTTAACCACGTGCGCAGTTTTCGCTGGCGTCATTGGCTGTTTGCTAGGGAATACATTATCAAGCGTTCGTCCCATCCCACAGCCACGGGAGGATCTCCTATCGTTACGTGGTTGCCAAATCAATTGTTTGCAGTCATGGATTTGATGGAGGACGTGTATGGCGAGAGTGGATTGAAGAAGGTTGTGGAGCAGGGTATGCGAGAAACAACGGAGACAAAGGTGGTCAAGGAGATGATGGAGAATGTTTCAAGTCAGAGGGAAAAGCTGGACAAGGAGGTTAAGAAGTATTGTGCGGAAAGGAGTGCCTGAGCAGACGCATCCATCTGGCATCAGGGCAGGCTCCTCTAACAAAGATGTGAACTCTGGCCGGGGGCCTGTCTATGTCCAACTAGGACACTGAGACTAACGACAACAACTGTGAACAACTGTGAACAAGGAGCTCGTCATAGTGACGGGTGTTTATGTCAAGACCAGCGATTAGTGAATTGAATGTCTCGGCGAGGTTCGGCAGGGTTCGGCTATGGTCGGCGCTGAGGTTTTTCCGGTCCGGACCCACTTCGCCCATTCCCGTCTTGGAATCTCCGCGTCGTTTGCCGTTAATATCCGGGTGATAGAGGACCCAAAGAACCCCATCTTTCACAGCCTTGTCTCAGATTAAATGCTCGAATGTGCCAATTTCTTGATGATATCGGTGCCCAGTAAATGAGATACACAGAGAGTTTATTTGAAATATAACCGTGACAACGTCTATGACACTAATCGTTAATATCCAGATCCTAGTCCCCACTCTTATCATTGTTGAGACTTCCAGGGAATACACAACTGCTTCAGTGTCAACAGTATCTGTCCACAACCAAGCGTTGGTCTTTGTCCCACCTTGCCATGACACACTTGATCTTGCTCAACATGAACCACTCTTGTCAAAGGATTTGAGAATAAACCGCTAAGGCACGGAAAACAAAGGGCACACGTCGACGTTCGAACTGTTTCACTCGATCTTAAGTGCCAGTCTGTGGCAGGTGTCGTTGCTGGTAAGTATTGAGAATGATCCATATCCTCAATTGATTCTTACGATGTTGCTGACACTTGAGTTTTGATCAGTATCATGCGACAGACTGGTTCAAGATTGTTGAAAACCTCAGAACAACCTTCTGTCGGCCTCTTCGAGCCACTCCTTTCCTCCCCGGCCGAGGTGTCTAATCCATTCTTGTGTCCTCACTTCTGTCCTTTTCATCCTGGGTACATGTGAAAATCAGCATTTGTTCGTTGGTGGTGACTTATCGAGGTTTGTCTCCTTTTGTCTCATCAGAGTGTTCTGTCCTGATTCTCCCCTAGCCTTCTGCTTACAATAAGAAAAGGACAATGTTCGTGTTCTCGTCATCCAAGAAGCGGCGCCCACCCCCAGACGTCATGACCTTGACGTTAAAAGACGGAGAATTGTGCCTTGGGATGTGTCCATTCTGAGCAAGGAAACAAAGACCGTTCTGCTGGCAAGAGAACAGAGGTATCACGACACGCAGGAAACAAAGAACTACCGCTTCCCCGTTTCTACAAATACATAATAAACGGCATGCCTTGTCGAGTCGCCTATCGTACACCCATTCGTGCAAAGCGGAGGCTCGTAAGGCTCCTGTCACACTCGGCCATCCAGATCAACGCCACCAACACGATATCAAAAGCTCTTCAAAGAGTTCGACATTGAATTATTTGCTTGAGCGACAACTTGGTATCTCTGCCCCCTACGGATCCGAGGAAAGAGTTGTCCATTTCCAACCCAATGGATTCAGTAGATCTCACAGCTCACGAGATTTCGCAGCGGCAAAAGACAGAAAAGCGTGTGCTCGAAACAGCTACTATGTCTACTATACTCCGGGAGTATCTTGAGACCCCCAGTAGATTCGCTCTATGTCCGAACTGAGTCAATCGAAGACGGACAAGGCAAATAACCGATGTATATATATATATATATCTATCTTTGTTGGAGGATCTTCCCGCACTCATTTTTGTTGCACTGTGAGTAATCTGACAAAGCCAAAAGACCTGTTCTAACTCCTATCAGTTTGTGCGATGAGTGCGCGCACGAAGAACCGGCCTTGGGTGCATGCCATCAGGCCTTCGATATGCTCCGATTCCGGCCGCTGCTGAAGTTTTCACTCCAGAGCATCGCACCGGCGGCATTTCACATGCGTTGCAGGAGCCCACATCCTTGCTGGCCACCTGCCGTCTTTCTCGATTGCATGTCATGAATTGTTGGCGGAGGGCAGGACTTGATTGTCAACTTCCTCCATGAGCCCTCCCTGCCACTGGTTCTGCGGAGCAAACCGAAGTCCAAATGAAGGTGACGAGGCCAACGGGGAAAATATGAATGCGTTCACCAAAGCCAGCAGCCAGTTGGAGGCCTGCAAGCCTCGCATCGCGACGTTGGAGGAGGCGGGCATCCCGACGGACAGTGGCCGACCTCGTCGTCGCCCTAACACTCAGCCGGAAAGTACTGGTTGAAAGCAAAATTCTTCCCCGGCATCAATGTCTGATGTGGGTGCTGACAGGCTCTATTCCCTTCTCAAGGTCGTCTATGATCACGCTGGCAGTTTCTCTTGGGAAAGATGGCCCATCGAGCAAGCGAGGCAGGGCAGGT